TAATGACGTGGCCGAATTATAATTGGCCACGTGTAAAAAATGGTTTTGCAAAACTACTGTTAAAAAATAATGGCATGAATGAGCCTTTTCTTAAACGGTAATGGCATAGATGAGCCAAATTTTTAACGGATGACATAAATGAGCCTTTTCTGAAAGTTCAATGGCATATTTGAGCCTTTTCCCTATTAATTATTACCAAATAATATGCAACTAATCAAAAATCAGCCTAAAGTTAATTAAGGAAGTGTTTCCAACAAATCCATTTAATCGTATAGGATTATATTAAAGAGGAAATACACCTCTTTTAATTCAATTTTTACTATTATTGGACGTGATTAGTATGAACAAAATATGAAAAAGAAACGAGGTTTGTATCTGGTATTATGGAAAACATTTTTCGTAATTTTTTTTTTATGTTTGGTTAGTTTAATTTTTTTTTTTTAATGTTTCATTAGTTTGAACTTGTTGAAAATCAAATTTGGCTATAGATTTTGTAACTACTAAGAATTTGGAGTGAATTTAGGGAGAGAAAATAGGAGAGAAAAAGACAGTGGTGAATGTGAATTTGGCTGGTGACTTTTATGTATCAGGTAGTTTTTAAAATTAAGAGAAAGAAGGGATTTAAGTAATATTTTTAAAAGGTAGGGAAAAATAGAGAATAAGTAAATTAAAGTTGTGTATATATGTAATTTATCCAAAATGTTATTCGAGCTGAAATAGGTAGGTAATGAAATGAGCTAAAATTGAATTATAATTCAACTAATTCAATTCTTACTACTCCTTCGATTTGATTCAAAATTTGATTTCAGAATAATTTATTTGAATACGTTATAAAACATTTTCCCTTATATTATCACTATATAAATCATTTCAAATAAAAAATATCTTATTAAAAATATTTAGAAAAAGTTTCAAACGAGGACTACATCTCTGGCCAGATTTAGAATGAATTGAATTATACGGATCAAAATGAGTTTAACTAAAAAAAAAATAAGCAGGTTATTAATTTGTCTAAACCTAAACAAATAAAATGGTCATAATTTTATGGACTGATTTTGCCAACCATAGTATGACCATGTACATGAGATAATTTCAAATCTGCAATATATATTATTTATATTTTTTTTAAAAAAGAAAAAATGTATCATAGAATAGAAACCTGCTGCACAAAATTAATTAACTTGATGGGTGTGAAAATTTTATTCACGGTCAATGTAATATAACTAAATTTATTTCTTTTCTAAATGCATAGACATGACCATTTTTAATTTTTATTACTTCAGGCTATGATTGTTTTCCCTTATATTATATGCTGGTTGGTCCAAATTCATATTTTAATGTCTCTCTTAAAAAGTTGTTGGTTGCCAAATTGTAAACTTAACATTGGCATATTTCTTTTTGCCTTAGAAGATCAAGATTTACAAAAGTTTAAATAGTTGGACTTTATCCCCCCAAAAATTGATTATTAGTAATTAAAAATACAAACTCTTAGAATTAGGTCCTTTTTTTAAAAAAATAAATTTATATTGGAAATCAAAAAATATTTTTCCAATTTTTTTATTGACGGTGTTCTCTCAGCCTCCAACACACCTCATTTTTACCCCTTTCCCTTAAATCCTTCCTCCCCCCCTTTCCCGTCATAGCTCTCATCCACACGCCCTAATCTCCACCCTCAGCTCTCATAACATTTATTTATTCCTTCGATTTCATATTATTTGACTCTTTTCGACTTGACACATCTTTTAAGAAAATTTTAGTGAGGGGTGAATTTTATTAAACTAACCTTATTAATATTATTTGAAACTCTAAGTTCGACTATTACTACTTTATATACTAGGGTAGTATGAAGAAAAAAACTTTTTTGGTTTACTAAAATGTACAAGTAAAATGAAATATCTCTTTTTGATATAGGGATCAAGTAAAATGAAACGAAGAATGCAAATACTAGATAAATATTTTTAGGATAAAATTATTACTCCCTCTGTTCCTATTCATATGTCATCATTTTAGATTTCACGCCCCTTAAGAAATTAGATAAGTTTATCATTGTACTTTTATTTAGTGTTCTTTTGAAATCAAGTTCTTATTAAATGAACATGAATTAATTACTTAGTTTTTCTACGTTGGACAATTTCTTATTTTCAAGGCTAATAACTCTCAAGGGCAAAATAGGAAAAATAGTGTTATTTATGCATTTTTGAGAAATGACGAGTATTAAAAAACATCTATTTTTAATAAGGACGATATATAAATAGGAACGGATGGAATATTACCATGAAATTAGGTCTAAAAGCTAAATAAAAAAAACGTAATTATTCAATTGGAAAGTAAGATTTGTCTACTTCTAAATCCTTTTTCTGCTAGTGAAGGTCCACTTAATTAGGCACTTGTTATATTAGACTATTAGTACTAGTTGTGGACTTGAACTTTTATATACAACAGGATATGAAGAAGACAGTATAATTAGAGGAGATAAACAACAATTAGGATATACTTAAAAAGTCTAATTAAAAAATCCATGAATATCGCTTCTTTTTTTTCCAGAACCTAATCATAGTACGCCCCTAATCATGTATAAATACTTTATAAAATGTTGAGAAAATAACAAAAATGGTCCTTTATGCTTGATGTAGGCTAAAATAGTCTCTTAAATATATTTCTTTAAGTAGAAAATCATCTACACCTCGGACTTTGATTTAAAAATCTAACTCTCTCTCAACTTTGAAAAATATCATTCACCCTCTCTTTAAATAAATAAATTATTTTATGCAAACTAATTAGCTTTTTGGATTCAATATTTCCTTTTCGTTTGTAATATGTTGTCCCTTTCCAACTTTTCTTTCTTTTTTATTTCCTCTCTTTTTTTCAATCAGAAAAGATATGTAAGAAATCCAGGTATATAATGGTGGCTAAATTGACACCTATTTATTTTTGCATAGTAGGATCCAAATCAAATAGAGGAAACCTCAGAGATAAGGTATATATATGAATATATATAATATATGTTAGCCTAATTTTTTTAGTGGAAGCTATTAAAAGCAAATTCCAGATAGATTTGAGTTCTAGTAATCAACTTTACAGGTTAGAGCTTTATATAGCTGACAAAGTATTTTGCTTTCTAACATCATTCCATATTAATTGGAGTCAAGCTCAGCATGCATCTCAAAAGTAAAAATAAATATAAAAATGAAGAAAATATATAATTATATTACATAATAATTAATAAATACCTATGAGACTTATGTTACATATATAATAAATAAGTTTGAACCCTAGAAATTTTCTTTATGAAATTCAAACTTTGTGCCTGTCTTGTGTGAGAAATCTTGAGATAGATGTCTTAGTTCTCCAACTAGACCTTGTGGACCACAATAAAACACACCTGTCATATAGATGAATTAAAAAATAAGAATGTCAAAAATGGAGCAAAACATTAAATTTGACGACGATGACAACAAGTGAGGTCTGGATAGGATATAGTCTAGGAAGACCGAAGACCTTAGCTTACCCCCTACGTTGTGAAGTAGGAGGCGGTTTTCGATAAACCTCAAAACTATATTAATCTTAATGAATAATAATTAAAGATGCTAGATAAGTACTAACCAATTCTTTGATCAGGATGATTAATTGTAACACGTTTGAAAACTTGGCGCCAATTTGGTCTAGCAAAATGAGTCTTGACTCTTGTCCCAGAGACAATGTCGACGCCACTCTTAGCTTGGTGGATTGACTGAAGCATTGTGATTAGTGCAGACCGGGCATCGCCTTCTTCATAAACGCTGGTGCAGTAGTTGTGAAGCTCAATTAGGCCTTCTTGATCGTTCTCCGAGACCTCATCCATCACACCCTTAAACCACTCAAACGAGCCTTGCTCGCGTGTTACCCAATAGAAGTAAGCTCGTTTAGTTGCAAAAGGACTTCTTTTACTACCTTTAGTGCCATCTTCGATGTCCTTTTGTTGCTTGATGTTATTGAGCACATCTTTTACTATACTTATCAAAGGTGTTGCCCCAATGCCAAGGCCTACTAAGAGGACTACGTCGTATTTCTTGTAATCCTGTGCTGGTGCTCCATAAGGGCCATCAATCAAGAGCTTTGGCAATCTGTTATACATTGATATGAATAAATAATGTGTACAGAATTCAGGGGAAAATAAATTTTCAAACTTTACTCCCTTACCTAGGCTTATAGTCGGCTTTCGCTATGTCTGCTCTTAAAAGGCCACTTTGATCACCAGTTGGAGGCTCACAGACCTAAAATATGATCAGTACAAGCATTATTAGTCTTCCAAATGAGCATAAGTTTCTTCAAAAGATTTCGTCTTTGCTGTGTTATTACTGATTTTATGAATTCGATACCTTAGAGAAGAGAGTTTTAAGCTGAGATGTCCAATCACCCAATGTTCGAATGTGCATACTTAGGTAATCATCTCCTGGAGCTGAGGAGATAGTAAACGGATGCCTACATTACAGAATGTGCATGATTTTTAGAAGTTAAATAATAATTTGTATTCAGTTTATTTGATCAAGAGCTTAGTTTATTTCAAACTTACCATTGAAATGAAGAAACATCAGAACAGTTCACTAAAATGTACTGTCCACTTGTGTACTTAAAGCCCTGAGGCTTAGACATGTGCACTGCCATTACATTTCCAGGATATACAGCTACCTGAAAACTCGAATTTTAGATAAAAATTCTATTCACATGTAATCGAACTAGGAATCTTAATGCTTGCAATGGTCTAAGCTCTTATGTACCTTCAAAATCTTCACTGCCTTGTACCCGGACCTAAATGCACGAAGCAGACGTTCACAAGCATATAGTATCATAGGCACCGCGATATACATCCACGTCTGCTCAATGTTTCGGAGAAAAAAGAAAGATATTAGATTCATTTTATGGCAAGGCAGGGCATGATTAGTATTAGATATGATTTACTTTGTTAAGAACTTACTGTTTTCTTGTACCATTTCTTTGAGAGGTAGAGGAAGTATCCGTGAATGATGAAGAGGACATAGACTATAACAAATAAGTGATGGGAGTACCAAAAAGCGTTAAATCCAGTGAGTTTCTTGATTGTTGATGGAAGATTGAGTCGGTTTCTACGAAACCATGGTTGGGCTAGTACATAGGCTATGATCATAAGGACCACCATCACAACACCGGTCCATCCTTCCGTGCCTTTCACAAACCACCAGTAGTTGTTTGGCCTTTCATCTCCGAAAAATGGCTTCATTGGCTCGTATTCCTCATCCGTGGCATGTAACAGCCGGGGAAAATCACATGTTAAGTGTGAAATTGCATGTAAGCCTACACCAACTGCTATTCCAAATGCAATAACCTAAACAAAATTGCATCAAAGAACACGAAAAAATCAGTATAAGTTCAAAGATTTCGTGTTTCCATTTCTATTTTCAGGCTATATACCTTGTGGAAATTGATGTTATCATCAAAGGGAATTATTTTCCCAAGCTTAGTCCTACTTCTTAGCCAAGTTATGGTATTTCTGCATACTGGCAATAGAACTAAAGCCATGTTGAATTTTGTTGTTTCAGCACCTCCTTTTGCTACAGAGACACAATAGCCCATAACATCAAAGACAGCACGACGTTTATATTGAATAAATTTCCATGTAAAGAGTCCTGCACAGATTGATAGCCACAAAGCCATCACCCAAATCCTCTTCCAATTGTCCTCAATGAAATAGTCCAGCCTTCTTTTGCATCTTTTAAAGGGATTTCGCTCTTTCGTTGGCTTAAGTTTCTGACTGAGCATCTGACTCAGAACTCTGCTGTTTGTTGAAAGATTCATCGAGTGGCTCGGAGCCTGAAGAAGCAATGTCTCCAAGTTGTACAGCTGCATCAAATACAACCATTTATAAGCTCATGTCCTTGTTTAAGAATTTGTTTTATACTCAGTGTATATAACTTAAACTCTTGTTTCAAAACGAACCTCAATGTATCCAACATTGCCTGGATCTAGTTCTTCCATGATGAGAGCTGCATATTCATCTGAATTGTCTTGGATTTTTGACAACTTATTTGCAGAAGCACTAAGAGTGATGATCTATAAGCATATAAACAAAGTATGAGTTTAGAGTTCTTTGAATTCGTATAATTTCATGAATTAGTTCAATAATCATCTTGAGATCTCACCTCTTTCACCTCTTCTTGAGTAATTCTCCCATCTGCATCTTTGTCCACCCTATTTTTTTTATCATACCATTATTAGCTATCAACAATATCTTTTACCATATCAATGCAGAACTTAAACAAGTTTTCCTATTGAGAATCTAATGACAAAGTGCTGACTTAATCGAAAATGTTCAAAGTAGTAGCGATATGTGGCATGTAATAGACTGGTGTTACAGTTCAAGACATCATTAGCATTCATTATGTTATAGGGTTGATTCATAGGATAGTTACTCAACTAATAGTTATTATCTCAGAAAACCACAATATAACTATTTAGTTGAGTGATCATCAACTCTTACATTAGTATCATATTTGTGAAATTCTATCTGTAAAGAGTTATATAAAATCTTACATGTCGAAGAAAGTTTGCAGCCGGGCATCAAAGCTAGTATCTGTTATTTGTTCCCAGAATTCGCGTAGCTCATCTTTAGTCACCGCGGGAGATGTGATGCATCTCTTCCTAGCTAGAGCATCAAATAATTCCTCAGCAAACTCACTTGATTCCTTCATACCTGATTACAAGTACAAAATAATGTAATTATTATCAACTTTATTGTATAAATCCAAAAGAATTTGTGTAATGAACAAACAAACCTATGCATTGACCAAACAATGATTTTGTTAGCATTCCATTAACAGCAAGTTGATCGAATCGCGATTCAACCTCAGACCATCCTTCAGTTCCTACATTCTTGTTCATGAACTGAAGTCCACGTAGAGCACGAGCAGCACCAGACTTACTCCTATCAATTTTCTGAAACTTATTAGAAGAAGTCATTCTTTTCAATTCCTTCGAAACTTGCCTCAGATGAAACGAAAGTTGTGATCCAAGCGTATTGTTAGGCCTCTTTTCGAGCCTGCTAGCTAACAATGCAGCTTCATGATCAGCTCCCTTAATGTTTTGAACCGAAACAGAATCATCGCGAACATCAAGAGTGATCTCTACATACGATTCATCATCTTTGAACCTTGCACTTTTCTTCCCACTGACTAATGAACCGCTGAATCCTACTCTCGATCCTCTCATACTATCTGAATCCCTCGTGTTTTCGATCTCCATTTGATTTTCCCGCTCTTTTTTCCTCTGTTTTTTTTTTTTTTGTCAAAATGAAATTAATAACAAGTAGTATCGACCTATGTAACAATAATGTAGAAAAAAAAATTATGAGAAAGATTGAAAAAATAGTAATGAGTATTGAGTTGAGAAATTGAAGAAGAAAGGTGATGTATATATATATATATACAAGGAATTAAGGGAGAAGGGAAAAGTCAGATAAGAGGGAAATCAGGGGGCGGATTTTGTATTGTTTTTGAATAATTGGGAATTTCTCTTCAACTTACAAAAATATAACGAACTCATGTAAGTGGTCAAACATTTTATATTTATTTGTTTTTCTATATGAAATTGGATGTAATTATAAGGTCAAAAGTTGAACATGATATCCTATTTAAGAAGATATAATACATGAAAAAGATGAATGTAGGAATTTTAACTAAATGGATGTGTAATAACATCTCACCTAATACTTGTTTTGTGATAATAATATATAGAAACTTGGTGGAGTGTAATACGTAGGTTTAACGAATTAGTTGAATATATATGAGATATGCTATTGTGGAATTGAGAATAAACATATCACAGTCATGATTACTCTCTTCTCTTTATTTTTATTTTTCCTTTTGACCTATCTTATTGAAGTTTTGCAATCAACATGCTTATTTTGTTCCCACTCATTTCTTCCATGCATTTGGGTAGTACAAAATGAATATCTCTAAGTTTCGATATACATGGAAAAAGTCATTAAAAATGGTGCAAAATGATCATCTAACGCCTATGACTACTTTACACGCACATATATATAGAGTTAGGAGTCAAAAGAGTAGAAAAAATTGAACAATTTTTTTAAAAGGGCAACAAAAATTGAAGATCAAACCAAAAGGGCAACATTTGGATGGAAGATGGATATCGTTAGATTGTAGGTTGAAAGGCGTATGCTGACATGAGTCTTATAAGGCGCATGCTGCCATGTAGGTTGAAAGGCGCACATTCACATTAGCCTTGTAAGGCCCACGCTGACATGAGCCTTGTAAGGACAACATAAAGTGCATGACACTATTCCTATAGGGTCATGCAAATGTTTAGCATGGGTAGGAGTTCAGTGACGCCTTTGATAGATAACATGCGTATCGTATGTCAATCGAACATCCTTAAACTTTATAAATTCAACTTCTAAAGTTTAATTTTTAGCATTAAACTTAACTATAGAATTTTAGAAGTTATCGATTTCATATCTACTCTCCTTATATAATTTTAATGAATTTTTACACAAAAAATGATATATTATGAGTCGAAAGTACTAGGAACTCAACATCAGAAAGTTGTATCTACCTATCTGTAGATATTGAAATTTTGTGGGACTCTACCAAACGTGTTCGATTCCACTTAATATTTATGGCCTATCTGAGAGAAATCTAAATATATATATATATATATATATATATATATGATTAATTTTTAATATTTAAATTGAAAAAAGGTTGAATTATGGGATGATGGCCCTGTAAACTCTCATGGCATTTTGTGGGTAGTTCACCTAAAGAATCTTAAGTGATGTCGTCATGTGATCATAAAGATGTTTAACAATTAGCTTATTTCCTTAAATTGCAGTTTATTACAGCTCATATAATAAATGGCTGACTTTAGTTGACTCCTTCATGGTGCTGCCCACAGTTTTAACTTCCCACATCTATTCCATTTTTGACCTACTACTACTAAAAACCAAATTGTATTATTTGCCAAAAAAAATCCAATAAACAAATAAATACACAAACATTCATGATTTGTTGAGGTTTACCAAATCTCCCAAATAATCCTAGGTTTACGGCTTAATCATTCTAGTATTATTCCAATTGAAGTATAATAATATATCCCATTTACTAGTAAAGTTGATAATATTGCTGGTGTAGTTTGGGACTAGAGGTGGAAAAAGAAAATTCAAAATTAGCTGATGAAATATTATCTATCAATGTGCTTAAGTTTGGACGTGTTAATGACTCACTCATTTATACAGCTTATTTTAATTAATTTATTTAAAAGTTGGATTGATTTACAACACACTATGATCCATGTGAAATATTGTTAAGGAGAAGATTTTTTATTGTTGTTTGATGTGTTGTATATAAATAGCTACAATAATAAAAAATATTTTTTATTAGATAATTAAATTAGTTATTAGAAACAACAAAAAAACTTATCAAGAATTAAGCAAATTAGATTATCACTGTTATTTAATTTATTTTGATTCGGATCATTTCAACCAAAATAACTTTTTGAGCAACTAATTCTCTAGGGTGATAAGTACAATTAATTTTTGGTTTCTATAATTCTATGTTAAGTCCTCGTCGACAATGAAGATTTTAGGATAAGGTTGAATGGTGTTATTGTTTTTAATCATTTTTAGTCCGTTGATCTAGATTAAATTGATTTGATTATTTTTTCCTCCAGCTTTCTCCTCATTTTTTATATTTTATTTTTTACGAAAAAGCTGGAGGGACTACTAACTTTTTGGGCTGGTATTCAAAGTTTAGCCATTATTTAAAATATAATTTTTTAGTGTGAAAATAAACTTTGAACAAATTAAAGTAATTGTGGAAAACTGTACTTTTCCTTCTCAAATAATCTATCGTCATTGTTAGTTCCACACCCCTTAAAAATATTAATTAGGAGAAGTTTTAAATTATTTTACTCTTTATTGATATTTAGATAATCATAACATCATTTATAATTGATGTGTTTATAGTCTCCAGAACAATAGCTATCAAGGGTAAGATGAAAAAGAAAAATTATCTTTGAACTTCTAAAACTAATTTAAAATAATTATTTTTAAAATTACGATAAATAATTTGAAATAGAAAACCGATATCTATAATGGGGTTTGAACATTTTCATCAATTCGAGTTTCCAAGTTTTTAAAAATGAAATTTCGAACTATAAAAATTGAATCAAGAGTTAATTTTCTTTCTTTTGGTTGGGGGTTGAAGGGAAGTATAAATAATCAAGCAATAAGCGGTGAATGGCTTAAATGTCAAAGTGCATTCCATTAACTAACTGAGACATCATTAACAATTACTAATGAGTACTCCTCCATTAGAAAAATGAGCAAAAGAGAAAACAATATCCTAAAGGATTAATGTTCATCTTCCATTAAATCTAAAAACTAGATGGTCAAATAAGAATATTATTGTATTCCCTCCGTTTTAATTTATTTATCTACTTCTCTTTTTATTTTATTTTTCTTCAAAATGAATGTTTCTTTTTTATATTTATAGCTTTTTTATTTCAATTTTTCACTAACACGTTTAAAACCACACAATTTAAATGACATTTTGATATTCAAAAATCTTTTTATATTTTTTAATTGTGTGCCAAGTCAAAATCAAACAAACAAATTAAATAGACGGAGTAGTAATATGTGTGGGAGGGGAGTAGGAAAAAGAGAGGAAATTACAATGTGAAGTATCGAACTCTTAACAATAAAATAGAAGTTCAGATAGCAAATCAACTAAGCTACTATAATTTCGGGTCCACATGATCTGATAATGCTAGTGGAGATTACTATTATGGAATGGAGTAATTGGGAGTTGGTAAGAGGTGAGAAGGTAAGCAGCCATTGAGTTAAAACTTAAGAGCCTCTTGTTTTAGAGCAAAACCACTAAACCATAGGCAGGTGGCAGACCAATTCATGATGACACGACTTAAAACCCCTATACATAGGATATGACTACGCGGAGAATATCATATAGCAATAAAATCAATTAATTACAAACCTTAAAAGTTATAACCACCAAAAAGTTAAAAGCTCAAAATTTGGTAACCAATAAATATTCCAAATCAAAATAAAAGCTATTACTGGTAAGTCGCCTTTTGTTAGAAAAAACAATTTATCCTTTAATGTAAGATTTTTTAACATAAATCATGATTTAATCGAACTTCAAGGTGTATACCAATACACATGGTGAAAAATCAAAATCAAAATAAAATGAAAACTACGCTCATCAAGAAACATCTTAAATAAAAAAAAGGTATTAATTCATATTTTTAATTAACAGATAAGAAACCAATAGTTCAATAAATTACAATACATCAGTCATCATGATGATGATGACACACAAGAGACATGAAGAGCCTGGCATGAGATACATAATATCCTCATGACTCCACCAATAATGATACACTCAAAAAGAATTAGGGAAATACAGCTTAATTAAAAGCACTTTGTTTTAAGGATCATTAAAATACTCACACATAATGCATATTAAGTTTTTTTTATATAAAATCCCTCTTAATTTTGAATATGATTTTAAATATCTCTGTCCTTAGTGCACTCTGGTGGCGGAACAGGGTACCTCGCTTTATCAGTGCAATAGTTATAAACAGTGTATTTTTGACGGACCCAACGAAGTCTCCTGTATTGTAATGCATCTAAATCTTGGAAGGCCTTTTGATCCCACCATTTCATGCCTTTAGTGTTACAAACTTGGACTTCTTGTGGCGTGGCAGCTTCACATCCGTCCACGTGGAACGATGTGTATGATGCGGTAAATGGGGCATTGGACCAATCGGTTTTCTCAAGCCCACCTCTTGTGGCCCAATCATCTGCGTCCCAAAGACTTGAGTATATCTTCATTGGCTGATTGAATGGGAATTTCACACCAAGGTCTTTTGAGTTTTTGAATGCTCTAATTGGGACGTCGTCCACAAAGATCCTGAAATAATGTTTACACAAATATATTAGCCCAATCCATTTGGTAGAGGCCCAATGGAAAAAGCCCAATGTTGAATAATAGAAGAAAAAATTGTTTATTGCTTTTGAGCATCTTTTCAACTATTGTACTAAAATTTCAAAGCAAAGTGGTGAATAGTCTTCCACAGAACTTTTGAAAGAAAAAAATACTATATCACTTTTTACGAGGAAACATTACTTTTAGGTGCAAGATAGAAGACAAAAATTCTGTCGCAAGGACACCAATTAGCCAGCTTGCTTAAAGTATGTAGGACCAAATAATTTGAAATGGACATTTAGACACAAAATCTGGAAATTTCATACGAATCATCACGATATGTTTACCATCATACAAATTTAAATATTTAATATCTAAAATTGAAGGTCATAGATATCAGTTTTGACCA